CCACAGATATCTCTCCAGAAGCTGCAGGTTCTCCAGAATCAAGAGCGACGAATATGCAAAGTCGACATTCTCCAGCTCGTCCCACAGCTCTTTCTTGACGACTTCGGGTCGCACTTTGGGTGTCTTCTTGGCGGACAGCCAGTTCTTCCTCGCCACCTGCGCGAAATGGTTCTCCCCGTGCAAGTCGGCGACAGTAGGGCGGGCGTGTACGCTTGACGAATCGGTGGGCGCATCGGACGCGCCGTTGGCCATGGTCAAGCCGGTTGGCTTGACGTCCTCCATATCGTCAACTTTCATAGCCATGTTCGCGGTCGGGATGGTTGTAGTGCGCACGTAAAGGAGCCGGCGCGCATTGTTGTCGCAAAAGACAAGTTCCGAGAATGGGTGTTGCGGGTGTGACGCGCCAAGGAAATAAAAGTAGTTGCAATGGCGTCGCGCCGAAGCTCAGAGCCACACTAGGGCCAAAGCCCGCATGGCGGCACTTGCCGCCCGCCTGGCGGAACCTCACTTCGCGAACAACAAGATACTCGGCAGTAGAGACGACCCAAGTCAACACCAACATGTCTTCGCAGGACGCCTACGTCAGGCACCAGGCTGTTGTGCCGGACAAGATCCCCACGGGAGAGTATCCTGTGAGTCAATTGCGCTCCCACGCCCTCTGCAATTGACGGCAGTAGCTAACCCATGGCAGCTCATCGACAATGACCCGTACGCCCCCTCTATCATATCCAACGCACGCGCATACTGACCCTATATGAAGACACTTCAAACGAGTCATGCGGTATACCCGCCCTTCAGACTGGGCTCAAGGTGCCGCGCTCGGAGCCCTAAGTCCTGGACTGATGCTTTACTGGGAGAGGGTCTCACCCTCCATGGTCGGCAAGGGCGGTTTCGCTCCCATCATGCGATTGAGCGGTGCCGTCGGTGTCACCGGCGCCTTTCTCTTCGCCTACTCGAGGTCATGCAGTAAGTCCACCACTTCCCCACTCAGTTTAAATCACACAGGCCCTTTCCATATACTGTGCGCAGAATCGGATACTAACACGTACATTAGTGCGTTTCTACGGCGCCCGCGAGAACCGCCGCGAAGTCGAAATGGACATGCGGGAAATGGTCGACAAAGTCAAGAAAGGCGAGCCTCTGTACGGAACTACTGAGATGACTGAGTACATGCAGGGTGTTGCGCACAGGAACTCGCGTTACGCGGCTACATTTGCTCATGTCCTCACGTGGCCAAACTTTGTCAACCACCCTTACCACGGTGTGGACACGGCCAAGTACTATCGCCAAGCCGAGTTGGAGCTGGAACAGGAGAGGGCTGCGAGGGGTTCATAGGGGAATGGTCAATGTGGTATCCAGAGTGTATATAAGTTCTGATGAACCAGACATCACGTTTTTGCACACCACTACCAGCTCCTGAAAACATGTCTTGTGTACAGTATTTCTACCCTGTCAAGTTTTTTTTTCTTCCTTTTTCACATCTAATTCACAGCCAACCCCTTCAACACCTCTTCGCTGCCGAACTCTAGCATCTTAAACTTACTTATCCAATCGTCCCTATTGACATACCCTCCACAAATCCTCCGCTTCCCTGTAAAGCTACTCCGCCCATGCAACACCCTCCAGTTATCAAAGATAAGTACCCTCCCTGGGACAAGCTGTTCCCAATACTCATTCTCCTTCTTCTTGAGTATGGCGTCGAATTTCCGGGCTGCATCGTACCACGTCTCGACTTCTTCAATGGGCAGCTCGATGGAGGCTCTATCAGAAGAATTCCACCGGACGCGGAGGAGGTCACCTGTGGCGGAGTCGTGTTCTAGGACGGGGAAACCGCGGTAGGGCTGTATACTTATACCCTCGTTTCCACTCGCGTGTGCATGAACATTCACTGTGGACAAGATTTCGTATGCTTTCCGATCTGTTTGTCTCAGCTCCTCTGCGGCTTTGAATCCGTCGACGAGCAAGCTCGCGCCGCCTTCGCCGTCGGTGTGCGAGAGCAAGTGGAAGGCTTGCAGACCCGCGGGGTCGGAGAAGTAGGTCGTGTCTGTGTGAGCTTCGAGGGCGATGTTGGTGTATGCTGTGTCGTTTGATGCTAGATCCGCAGTAAAGTCGTAGAAGCCTCCATAATGCGTTTCACGAATGAAAGAAATCCTCTCCAGTAACATCTTTGTGAACAAAGGATTTTCAGACGGTGTTCCGTCGACGTAGCAAAATCCATGTGTGCGGATCTTCCTCAGAAGTTTCTTGGGATCGTGGCTCATCACGTGGTGGTATGCCTGTGTTGGGGGCTTGGAGGCGATTCTTGAATCCCATAGGTTGAGTTCGACAAGTCCTTGGCGCTGAATGGCTTTGAAGTCCTCAGTAGTGGTGGTTTGAGCCAGGAAAGAGCGCAGGTATCTGCTCTCGTGGCCGTCACTCCACTCAATCTTGAATGTGGGATCTTCTCCTTCACCCTCGATCCAGTGTGATTTGATCGAGATGTCCTTGGGTATAGAGAACGTGTCAAGCAGTCGCTGCTTGGTAGTGTCGTGCATGCAACTTCCGCATTGGCAATTATCCCGCAACCAAATATTCGGTATTAGTCGCGAGTCGACATAGAGCTTGTCCTCACGGAACTCTGTCCGAGGGACGTTCACTCGCCCGCCTGGAGGCGTGAAGGGATGATCTCGCACTCTGTACATGCCTCTCAAGAGTCTCTTGAGAAAGCGTTGGTGACCGTAAATCTTGTTGAGCTCATAGGCTAGCAGTTTGGTGAATGTGCTCAATTCCTTAGCTTTGTTCATGTTCTCTACACCAAGGTATTCGTCGAGACGGTCTGTTCTGGGCTTGAGCGGTTCGACCTTTTCTTGCTGGGGAGTTTTGGTTTCCGCAACATCTTGGGTGCGCTGCTTTTGGCCTGTGGAACTGGCAGGTGCGGTTTGTGCGTCAACTTGAGTGTTCTGGTCTTTCCCTACAGTCGCGCCAGTACTGGATGACGAATTCAGACGGATTGAAGTCTAGTCATCTGATTAGCGTTGTGGACGACTTCGAACACGTGCTGAAACCGACCTTTTTGTACAATGGATGAAGCGCAGTACGTCGGGCGACATTCGGAACATGAGCGCACCGGAGTGCTCTTGCCGAGAACATGACATTCAGTTCTTGGGTATCAACAAGGCGAGATGAGACTTATGATGCACAAGAATTGCGGTAGGATGCAGCAGTACTAAGTGCAAGTAGAGCGTGGAGACTTGTGTGTACTGACGATGAAGCTCGGAGGTCGGGTAGTTGCGAAGTAGCATTAGCACGGGTATGCTCTTCAACCACCTAACGTGACCTCGGCCATATCTTGGAGCTACAAGTCGAATACGAGGAATCTCGTTCAGCCACATTGTTGAAGCTATGCTGGATTTGTGCTAGTTCCAATGTCCTCGCACCTCATACATTACAGCTTACACTAGCTTCTAACAAGAGATATTATAAGAATCGATAGCACTGTAGACTTCTAGACTCTCTGCAGATATTTATACAGCTCTAATACAGTTTGTCGTAGTGATAAAGAAGTACTCTGCTTCGATAAGAAGCAAAGAGAGACAAGATTCAATATAGCAACGACCAAAAAATATCACAACGACCATCCAACATCACCTTGTATGATAGATCATGAAGTTTCTGAGCCGTAGCACCGATGCCATGCAGCGACCTAACATATTTGCTACCGAAAAGCGCAAAGACGTGCGGAAGTAAGTGCTTGCATATGCGACTGAGCACAATTTGCTCAACGTCGCCATTCCAGAAGAGGTTCAGACCAAAGCTCTCGCAGACATGGTCCGAGACGCAGCGTTCCCTATCGAATTGGCCAAGTCTACGTCAGTCGTCAGCGCAGTCTTGTTGGCAACGCGATTTACTTCTGTCAGGCGCAGCCGCAGTCAATCCCAAGCAACGGAGGCACCAGACGAGCGACTAGGTGCTCTCGATAATGACGAACATGTCGCCGTAATTCAGTGCAAAAAGCGTAAGAGTCAATCCATCAACAGTGTCGCAGTCGACGACTATGGCGATAATGACATAGATCACCAAGCCCCAAACAATAAGCGCAATCGCAAAGGTCGGCCCATGATCAGAACGACTACCCAAGAAATGCAAAAAAAAAAAAATGAACGACACCTGTGGGACTCGAACCCACAATCTTTGCCACCGGAAAGCAACGCCTTACCATTAGGCCAAGGTGCCCGAGGGAGATGGATGAAGTTTTGAAAATTTGGATATCCAATATTGTCATTGTACGCGTAGTGTGGTTGAATGCTCCGCTTGCCCCACTGTCTACGTCCTAAGAACAACACACCCCATACAAGGAACAGTCTAGGATGGCACAGAACTAACAATCTCCACCTTACAGCCTGTGTTACCTTCCAATAAGGAAATTTGCAAAGATAGGTAGCGTTGTAGTGTTCTAGGTTTCGTACGTACATCCTTATTGTTCTTAATACGCTCTACTGTTGTAGGTAGAAGTATTACTGTGAAAAGAAATGCTTACTTCTTCTCTGTGATACAGCATACAAACGAGTGTGATAGGAGTCATTTGTAGTGATGCACAGGAATCCGGAGGTAGTCAGTGTTGTTTCTTCTTCGAAAGGCACCAGCGACTACCTCTTGAATGAATACTTGCACGCGCTTTCGTTGTAGAGAAGCACACCGTCGAACCCTAATTTCATGCGCATATCATATACCAGATTTAGCTCATCAAGCAATCACCCTCGCAGACGAACGCGACATCTGTAATACACTATTATTGCTGCAACGTGTTTCGCGACGGATCGGCGTGACAGATGCCAAGACAATCGGAGCTAAGGTGCTCACCGTGCGTACCTTCGTAATCCATAGCTGCCTCTACAGCTCCACATCACCGCCGCACAACAACAACTTCACTATCGGCGTCACTCTCCACAACCACTCTTGCACTCGCCCATCCATCTCCTCTCACCACACCTGCGTAAAGTCACCCAGATAAGACCGCCACCATGTCTACACTCGAAGATCTCGACGACATCGAGCGCCACGAGAAGGAAGAGAAGAAGGACGATGATAAGAAAGACGGAGACAAACAAGGAAAGAAGGCCGATGGCGATGCAGAGATGGAGGATGCGGAGCCAGAGGAGGAGCAGCTCGACGAGGAGATCCTCAACTCAAGCACACGAGACATCGTTGCACGAAGGCGGTTACTGGAGAATGACATGCGCATCATGAAGAGCGAGTACCAACGACTCACACACGAAAAGGCCTCAATGAACGAGAAGATCAAGGACAACCTAGAGAAGATCGAGAACAATAGGTATGACATCTATGTGACCGCTGTCGGCCCCGCGTGGCGGTGTTTCGAACAACAGACTTACATCTCACAGGCAACTGCCCTATCTCGTTGGAAACGTCGTCGAGATTCTTGATCTGGACGTCACCGAAGAAGCCGCTGAGGAGGGAGCAAACATCGATTTAGACGCCACCCGCGTCGGCAAGTCGGCCGTTATCAAGACCTCTACGCGACAGACCATCTTCTTGCCCCTCATCGGACTAGTCGACCACGAGAAGCTCAAGCCCGGTGACCTCATTGGTGTGAACAAGGACTCATACCTCGTTCTCGATACATTACCCGCAGAGTACGACAGTCGGGTGAAGGCTATGGAAGTTGACGAGAAGCCGACTGAGAAGTACACTGATGTCGGAGGTCTGGACAAGCAGATTGAGGAGCTTGTCGAGGCTGTAGTCTGGCCTATGAAGGAGGCTGAGCGATTCAAGAAGATTGGCATCAAGGCGCCAAAGGGTGAGTAGCTCCTACGCTCATTCCGCGACTACAACTAACCATTACAGGTGCACTGATGTACGGCCCTCCTGGTACCGGAAAGACCCTTCTCGCGCGAGCCTGCGCTGCGCAAACCGACGCCACGTTCCTCAAGCTCGCCGGTCCACAACTCGTACAGATGTTTATCGGTGACGGTGCAAAGTTGGTCCGTGACTGCTTCGCTCTGGCGAAAGAAAAGGCCCCCTCAATCATCTTCATCGACGAGTTGGATGCCGTCGGTACAAAGCGATTCGATTCCGAGAAGTCCGGAGACAGGGAAGTTCAGCGAACCATGTTGGAGCTGCTGAACCAGCTGGATGGTTTCGCCTCAGACGACCGTGTCAAGGTCCTTGCTGCGACGAACCGAGTCGACGTCCTGGATCCCGCTCTGCTACGTTCTGGACGTCTGGACAGGAAGATTGAATTCCCGCTACCCAACGAGGAGGCTCGCGCACAGATCATGCGCATCCACTCGCGGAAGATGACGGTTGACGACGCTGTCAACTGGCAAGAGTTGGCGCGTAGTACCGACGAGTTCGGTGGTGCGCAGCTGAAGGCTGTGTGTGTCGAGGCTGGTATGATCGCTCTCCGGACTGGTCACCAGAAGATTAGTCACGAGCATTACGTTGATGCTATTGCTGAGGTGCAGGCTAAGAAGAAGGACACGGTCAACTTCTACGCTTAAGGTGTGGTTGGATGGTGGTGGCTTGCACTCGAATGCCAGGCTTGTAATAATACTTAGACCTTCAGCATAGTACCATAGCGGGAATGACGATTACGAATAACAAGGTTGGGTCGCAGTCATCTAGTGTGGCTTTTGAGTCGGATGCCTCGTGAACAGCACACTTCATGAAGAACGAGGGCCGCACACAGTACGCCTACTTCTATCATGATACTCACGATGACTGAATCAGTTTCCAACACGACAGTCACCCGAAAAGAATGTGACAGAATGAAGGCTGACATTTGCAGGACCTGGGTGGATGACAATCACCGCGTGCTGGAGCATCACGCCAGCACTACGCCTCAACGACATCTGCTTCTTGCTTATGATTATCATCTCAGACATTCGCGAAGCCCAACTCAAGACGAATATCTTCCTGGTCTCAACCCCCAACGGTGATTGATAGCCTGAGCTTCAGATCTTAGCTAATGCAATTGCACAAGGCTCGCAGATGCCGACATCCTCCGGATCGTCGCCTCGCGCACCAGATAATCCAAAGTGACTTGCATGGAGGCAACAAGGCCGAGCCATGTCGTGGAGTCGCGCTATGCCCACACGTTCTCGAAGCGTCCCTGCATTCCCGTCAGTGGATTTGGCACGCCCTTCCTCGCCACTCCTCATTGGCTCACATGCTAACCACCCAACCTCGACCATCCTTACAATACCACCTCAACACCAGGCACCTCACACCCACGCGCAACGACACCTTTCTTTGATAGGCCGACCGTTGTCTCTTGTCCCCTTTGAGATCTGGAGAAACTCTCGGTTTTACCAGACCCTGCATAGCCGCCTCTAGCGGGGTTGTCTACGAGAGGCAGTTCCGTAACGTTATGGTAGAGTGTTGGTGAATCTGCGGTGCAGGTTGCCAGGCGCCGTTTCGAGATCATCAGAACATGTGGCGAGCTCCATTGGCTGATAGCTGTCTGAGACATGAAGACGATGCCTCGCCCAGTGGGGTGACTGGTCTACCATCATTTGGACATGCAGTATGACGAACCCGAAGTCGGAATGATGCCCATGTCTCTCGGAATGCGTTCTCATATAACCCCTCCATTGTGGTTGTGGGGTTTCTTTTTTGCTTTGTTGTGTTTACCTCTTTCCCTTCGTTCTCTTGTCTGATCATTGCTTCGAGCTGTCTTGTCTTGTCTTGTTGCAACGTCGCAGCTATGCTGGGCCTTTCAACCTTTGTTCCGCGTGATCCGTTTCACCAACTTACTGTTACTCTGTGTGTCGTCGGCGTGTTTCTTGCCGTCGTCTTTGCTCTTGCGTTCAGGCCAAGGAGTAAAGAGCAGGCGCCGAGCACGTTTGAAGCATACCTCAAATTCATCTATGGGTGCTTCTTGAAGCCTCATACAGGCGACGGATCTGGGAGCCAGCAGGATGCTTTGGTGAGATTGACGGAACGGGGGAAGTTTGGATGTTGTCTAACCGAATGAATAGGAAAGTTTCTACAAAGCTCAGGCTGATGTCTACGATGCCACGCGCCTTAAGCTTCTCCGGGGTCGTGAGGATATGTTGGGGCTGGTCGCTGCGCAACTGAAGCACCGTACAGAAGCGAACTTGATCTCGCAGCGCCCTGTCTGGGTTGATGTACGTAGCAATAAGGATTCGGGTTGGTTGATATGCTGACAAGAGTAGATTGGCGGAGGAACTGGTCACAAGTAATTGCACAGTCATCAACTTTAAGATTTGCTACCTAACAAGAGTATAGTGTTGAACAGATGAATGCTTTCGTACCAGTGGCAAGCTTCTTTCGCGCAGTGTGTGAGTCAGGCTGAAATCAACAAGTAGAGCATTACTTATGATCGCAGATGTCGTCGACCTCTCTCCTTCACTGTGTGAGATGGCCAGGAAACGCTTTGCCCGCCTCGGCTGGACAAATGTCAAGGTCATCTGCCAGGATGCGCGTGCATTTCGCCTTCATGAACACGAACCGCAAGCCTACGAGCGTAAGGAAATAATCTCCCAAGGTCAAACTGTTCGCGACCTCGACGAGAATGCAGATGCCGGTGGTGCTGAGCTCGTCACCATGAGCTATGCCTTGAGCATGATACCCGAGTTCTACCCCGTCATCGACTCGATTGATAGCTTGATGAGTCCTAATGGTGTTATCGGCGTTGTCGACTTCTACGTACAGAACCAGGTCGACTTCATGGGTAGAAACTACATGGGCGGTGCTATCGATCGTCACTGCATGTGGATCTCACGTGTATTCTGGCGGACATGGTTTGAAATTGACCGCGTAAATCTTGAGCCTGCGCGACGAGTATGTCGGTTCTCTGCAATACAAGAACAACTTCTGACAGTTCGTAGGATTATCTTGAGTACCGGTTTGGCACGGTCCTCAGTATCAATGCTCGCAACAACTTCTTCGGCACTGGCATCAAGCTCCCTTACTTCATCTGGCTTGGCTGCTCGAAAGAACATGGCGCATCTACACAGAAGCTTGCCGAGATCGATGCGGCCGCTACCGAATCGCCCTACCTTACGGCTCTTGACCTACAAACAGGAGCTACACAGACGGACGTAGAAGTACATTCAAAAGCCTACGAATCCGCAGTCGTGAACCTCCAATCCAGTCTACCTCTTCCAGCAACATGGTACCAGAATCACCACTGGCGCATCCATTACGATTCCGCCCTTCCCAAGCATACCCGTTTCAACAACTCCTACATCTACGCCTTCACCTGGGAAGACGACGTAGCAGACATGCGCCTTCTCAAACCCACTTCCAACGACGTCGTCCTTGCTATTGGCTCAGCCGGCGACAACATCCTAGCCTTTTGTCTAGAAAACTGCCGCCGTGTCCACGCCGTCGACCTCAATCCCAGCCAAAACCACCTTCTCGAGCTCAAAGTAGCCGCCTTCACAGCCCTTCCTTACCAAGACGTTTGGAAACTCTTTGGCGAAGGCAAGCACCCCGACTTCCACAACCTCTTGATCCAGAAACTCAGCCCTCACCTCTCGTCCGAAGCTTTCCAGTTCTGGCTGCACAATGGCCCGTCCGTCTTCTCAGCTCGTTCGTCAAAGGGTCTCTACTACTCTGGTGGCTCGGGCAACGCCATCACAATGTCCGCCTGGCTCTTCCACATCCTAGGCATGACATCCGACGTCCGCAAACTCTGCACCGCACAAACCCTCAACGAACAACGAGAAATCTGGCAACGCTCCATCAAAACCGTTCTCCACTCCAAGATCCTCACCTGGGCCATACTCGGAAACGAAAAGTGGCTTTGGAAAGCCCTCGGCGTCCCACCCGCCCAACGAGCCGTCATCGAAGCAGATTTCAAGAAGACGGACGATTTCGACGTGCCATCATCGCCGTCACAACAACACGCGAAAAAGGATTCGGCGGCCGACTACATGGCCTTCCACGAAGAACCCTCCGACGATGCCCTGAAAAGTAGCAGCGGAAACGCAATCTACGAATACGTACTCAACACCTTCGAGCCCGTAATCAACACAACGCTCCTCTCCACATCAAACCACTACTACCTCCTCACCCTCCTCGGGCACTACACACCCACCTCGCACCCCACCTACCTGTCTCCCAAATCCCACGTCAAGCTCAGTAAACCAGCCGCCTTCAACGGCCTGCGCATCCACACGGATGAAATCTCAGAGGTGATTAGTAGAATGAGACCGGCAACGTTGACTATTGTCGTCGTCATGGATAGTATGGATTGGTTCCCGCCGCAGGGGAACCAGGCGGTCAAGCAGATTAGAGCACTGAATCGCGCGTTAAAGGTCAAGGGGCGGGTGATGCTGAGGAGTGCGGGGTTGGAGCCGTGGTATATCAAGGTGTTTACTGAGAACGGGTTTGGGGCTAAGAGGGTGGCGGTTAGGGTGCCGGGTAGTTGTATTGATCGGTAAGTTTTGATTCCCTTGGTAGCGGTGGAGGGTAGTTTGCTAACGTTTCGATAAAGTGTGAATATGTATGCGTCGACGTGGATATGCACAAAGGAGGCGGGGATTGGACATGAGGATGTCAAAGCGGGGTCGCCGCGGCTGAGGAAAACGAGTTTGGCTGAGTTGAAATTGGAGGCTCCTGCTCTGCGTATGGAGTAGGCTTGGTTTCCTGCCTCTCTCGGCCTCTTGTTTGTGGCCTTGTCTCATAGCATGGGTGGGCTATTCGTCGTTCCTTTTCTTTTCACATCAGAGCTGTTCTTCCCCCAACATTAGTCGATCTTGTTGCTAGATACCTAGAATTCATTTCTTTGCGTGCCATGTTCAACTGTGCATGCGTGGATAATGGTGTTTATCTTTTCTCAATATTAAAGATATAGCATCTTGGCATGCTTCCTGCTACGTGTACACATCAGCCGTTATCGTGCCAGCACCCTCTCCTTATAGCATAGCAACCCCGAGTTGCGGACATGAGAGCCCGAAGTCTATTGCCGACCTAAAAGAAAAAAAGTGCCCATGTCTTAATGATAGCCTTCCCTCCCAATATAGAGGACCATAATCCGACGAAGTGAAAGTAGACGGTCGGTCGAAGTCGAACGACTTAGTTGGCGGAGTACCGTGTCTTTCCGACGGTAAAAGGGACGTAGCGGTACTTGATCATATGCTGAATCTGTCGTCGCACTAGAACGCTGTTAGCCTTGCCCAATACTCGTGTGAATGCATGTCCGGATTCCCACTTACTCGTCAACCCAAAAAGAATCAACCAGTACACCACCAGCACCGGCCAGAAAACGGGCAGATTGAATATCTCGAACCAGCTGCAGAAGAATCCAATGGCAATGGCCTTTGTGGTTGAGTACCAAAACTTGAATTCGGGCAGCCTCCTCACGAAAGGCCTAAACTCCTGATCCTCCTTGGTAGGCAGTCCACTTGCGCCCGCGGTCCCGTCTTCCATGCCCTCATCCTGCTCGAGCGCGGGGTCGAACTTGGGGGACAGGAAGGCGAGGAAGAGGTTGAGGAGGTAGATGCCTAGCGAGTAGGCAACAATGTACCAGCCCTGTGCGAAGAAGATGCGCAGGCCGAAGAGGAAGAAGAGGAAGCCTGTGCCGCCCCATCTGTAGGGAGTGTACGGCGTCGACTTGTCGAGGTAGGTTTGGAACATGCGGCCGTATTTTGTGGTTTGCGCCGTGACGGCGCTGAAAGGGGTGTCTGGTTCGGGGGAGTCCATGGCTGTTGTCGCTGTCTCACTTGGAGGTGTGGGGTGGTGAGATGGAAATGGCGACGGCGGGGAGTCGAGTGTGTACGCGCGGGGCGATGCAGGTGGGTGAAGAGGCGACGTTCTTGTTGAGGGAATCGTGTCAAAAAGTTCAACGGCGAACATCAATACGTCGCAAGGCTGGGGCTTAGATCGCCGCCCCCAGCGCTTGGGCCAACGTAGCTTCCCCTAGCGTAAGGTGGGATGACGGGCATCTTTTGGCGGGCGTTGCGCGACTTTGCCGAGGTGCCGATACTACCCATTTGTATGGTAGCTTCTGAGCTCATACATCCACTCTTCCGATGTAAATACTTGTTGCCTGAGCTGGACTGCAAGTCGAAGCTCAATTCACTACACTCAAGATGCAGGCACTACGATCAGCACCGAGAGCGGCGTCTCAATTCCGGTCAACGGGTCTACCCAGACTCCTAAGGGGATATGCCACGCAGAGGTCATTCGAGCATCTGCTTGTGTCGGAGGCTAAGCCTGGCGTTGGCTTGAGTATGTTACCATCACCATACTCTCTGAAACAATTGTATCTGACCCATGCCCCCAAGTCCAAATCAACCGCCCCAAGGCCCTCAATGCCCTCTCCACCCCACTCATCCTCGAGATCAACCAAGCTCTCCGCGACTTCCAAGCCGAAAAGTCCATCGGTGCCATTGTCCTCACCGGCTCTGAAAAAGCCTTTGCAGCAGGTGCCGACATCAAAGAAATGAAGGACCTCACTTTCAGCGACGCATATGGTAAAGACTTTATAGAATCCTGGTCCGACCTCGTCACCTTCCTCAAGAAGCCTCTGATCACGGCTGTGAACGGATATGCGCTGGGTGGAGGCTGCGAACTCGCCATGATGGGCGACATCATGTACGCAGGCCCCAAAGCCGTCTTCGGACAACCCGAGATCAAACTAGGCGTCATACCTGGTGCGGGTGGCTCACAGCGTCTGACCAAGGCGATTGGAAAGTCGAGGGCTATGGAGGTCATTCTTACCGGCGACAACATTACTGCGCAGCAGGCTAGCGAGTGGGGGCTTGTTAGCAAGGTGTTTGAGACGCCCGAGGAGTGTGTAAACGGTGCTATTGCGACGGCGGAGAAGATTGCGGGATATAGCCAGATTGCTGTCAAGGCGGCCAAGGAGGTCGTGAATAAGAGTCAGGAGCTGGGTATTCGGGAGGGTGTCGAGTATGAGAGAAGGGTTTTCCATGGGCTGTTTGGAAGCGAGGATCAGAAGATTGGAATGACGGCATTTGCAGCAAAGGAGAAGGCCAACTGGGCAAACAAATAGATATTGATGTGAAATTAGTAAATGGACATGGATGGACCTCGTTTTGAATAAAATCGTGTTTGAATTACAGAGCCTTCTTCTCTATTCTCTAGTACCGTCATGTAGAACACCGTAGACCTAGACTTGGAGCTTCCATTCGCAAGAGTACACGCCGTCGAAATGGGACTATGCATGCCTCGGCGCCCCTCGATAAGCTTATCGGCAGCCACATGATAACCCGCGCACGCGCGTGCGTAGATGACGCGAGTCGCATGTGGGGAAACTGGAACATTACCATCTGACATGCCATGCCGCTGCTCATCCAAACATCTTGCACCCCACATGTAGAACATCACCCACCATGGACACGACACCGCCATGGCTACGCGACGCCCTCAGATTCGCTCTGACAGCGACTGCGTCAACCGAAACCCCGTGGTTCGCACACGACTATGACGCCTTCAAAGCGGCTGGCGGCGGCGACCTTACCGATCCTGATGACCCGGGCAAAGACCCGCGGTTCCGCAAACTGGTCGAGGCCATATTGTTCAGTCGGAGGTTTCTGAATACGTATAATCTGGTGTTGCTGGGTGTATTGGGAGTGTTTACTGTGTGGCACTGGGGGGAGAAGGTTGTATTGCACAGGCGGAAGAGGCGACGGATAGCGAAGCAAGCTGATGGGGCCGCGCACGAAGAAGATGAAGTTTGGAGTAGCTCGAGCAGTACGATTGAAGGAAACGCGACACCCCCAGATACCACCGCCGCCGCGAAGAAATTAAACTCCGCCCATGCCGATGAATCAAGCCCTCTCCTTCCCGTCCCCGAGCGATCGCGACCGCAACGAAAGAGATTTGGAATATGGACTCCATACTACCTTGTCAAATCTCTCCTCCAATACCAACCCCCGCGCATCCCCATCGTCAACAAGACCCTCCCCACAAACGCCGTCTCTTTACTCGTCGTCGCTTGGATAGCCCTGAACATCTTTTACAACTTGTACCGCATGCCACTCTCCTTCATGTACCTCTTCGTCTTTGCCGACCGCTGCGGAATCATCTTCATCGCAAACCTCCCGCTCCTCTACCTCCTCGCCGCGAAGAACCAGCCGATAAAACGGTTGACGGGATATTCGTACGAGAGTCTGAATATCTTCCATAGAAGAGTAGGGGAGCTGGTGTGTTTGGAAGCGTTCTTGCACTTCCTCGGCATGGTGGCCACATGGTATGGCATGCTGCGACATTTGGGTTTCACGCTGGCGAAGTTCCTATTCAACCGGGTTGTGCTGTTGGGTTTGGCAGCGCTGGTCGCGTATGAAGTGATTTACTTTACGAGTCTGGGCAGCTTCAGGAAGAGGTGGTACGAGGTGTTTTTGGGTCTGCACATTGTGCTCCAAGTTGCTGGCCTGGTTTTCCTATGGTTCCATCACCATACTTCGCGGCCGTACGTGGGCGTGTCCCTTGCCATTTGGATTGTTGACCGCGTGGTTTATCGCATGTGGTTGAAGTCTAGCACACATGCTGCTACGCTCACGGTCCTTGAAGACGACGAAACACTCCTCTTATCCACAAACTGGCAAGTCGATACCAAGAATAAGATAGCCGGGGTCCTGGGTAGCAACATGAAGCAAGGCTGGAAACCAAACGAACACATTTTCATCTCCGTACCAAGTCTGTCCCGCAAACACGCTATCCAATCTCACCCTTTTACCATCTTCTCCGCCGCGCCAACACAAACTCCAACGTCGATGCGAGACGACCACGAGGGAAAACATGCTTGGTTCTCCCTCCTAATCCGCCCACAGGCCCCATCAGGCTTCACACACACCCTCCTCCAGCACGCACGACAATCCCAGCTCTCAACAACCCAAGACCTACGTATCCGCCTCGATGGACCCTACGGCTCGTCCTACGCCCTCGATCTCCTGGAATCCTCTTCAACAGCTATACTGGTCGCAGGCGGGTCCGGCATAGCAGTTGCATACCCCCTACTCTACGCTCTCTTACATCCTAGATCATCACAACATGACCCCGAGACGACTTGTTCGTCATCAAAGACTACTCTGAGAAAAGTAAAGTTGCTGTGGATAACACATTCGCCTGACCATAGGCTTTGGATTCCGGAAGATAAGTTGAAGGAGTTGGAGGATTGGGGCGCGGATGTGGTTATTTCGCCGCCGACGAGTTTGGCGGGGAGGCCGGATGCTGGTGGGATTGTTGGGGAGTGGGTGGAAGAAGAGGAGGAGGAGGGTAAGAGGAGTGGGGTTGTGGTTAGTGGGCCGGATGGGTTGGTGAGGGATGTGAGGAATACGTGTGCGGGGTTGATTTGGAAGGGGAGGGATGTTAATGTTCAGGTGGAGAAGTTTGGTTGGTGAATTTTATTGACTTGGAGTTATTGTATAGAAGGCCTCTCGGTTTCTTCATGAGATTCAAATGTTAAATGTCGCTGATTTATAGCGATTGCATGCAACATCATCCGAGATTTATTGTGACATTGATGACTGCTGCACAGCCTTCGACAGCGTGCACCGGAAAGGTAACTTGGCTCGGCACAAGAGACTCAAACACAGTGGTAGAGTGTATGTCTGTGAGAACGCCTCGTGGAGTCGCTCACTCTCCTAGCTGACTTCCTTTACTACCGTGGTTCTTGACGTGGTGCCGTGGTTGTTGAAGCTGCTGGATATTGTTGTGCTGCTAGTCGTCACTCTGTTAGCTTGATGTCATCACGCTTCTAATTCTCACCGATCTATTCTCCGTACTGATTGAAAAGAAGGGTGGATGGCAATTATGACGAAGAAAGAGATCAGCAGTGTGTACCCCTTAGTTTTCTTACATGTCTAGAATTCTATGGAGGATGAAATTTGCCTACCTAAGTATGGCAATGCGTCATATCATTGCAGCAGGGGCCTAAACTACACAATCTCCTTGCTGAAGTCCAAGGCGATCGTCAATACTCATCTGGCATCATCGATACATGGTACCGTCTATTCAGAGATGTCTAGGCTCCTAGTCGTTGTTAGCATTACCGGCAATCCTGGCCGCGCTGTCCCCTGAGTAAGTTGAGGCTCTGGAGGCACAGTCAACGCTATGCTTTACCACCGCAAGCTATTCATTAAGATAAATAGGCTGTTTGAAATCTACAGCTCTCTCTGCTTCTGAAAGCTGCTGCTGCTACGTTTTTCAACAATCTGTTCGCGTATTCTCCGATCACGACATTGAGTTGTTTGTTATTAGCGGCGAGCGCATTAAGTGGGTAGGACGCAAGGTTGAGGTTACAGATGGGCTCGATTTACCAGAGGATGTTAAAGAGAATCCCTGATGGGAGGGCATTGAGGCAGTTTATAAGTAAGTTAAGACAGTCGCGCGACGATGTTCAGCTTCGGTCATCCTCACGCGTTGCATTTGCTTTCTGCAATCGTCTCATCCAGCACTTCGGCATCCAAAAAGGACGATTGCGTAACCTTTAGCAGCAGATTAATTGATTAACTGTGGTACGACACCTGGTCTAAATTTTCGCAGCAGGATCATGCAAAAGGACTGGAGTAAACGGGCGAGGGACAAACATGCGCCAGCCCCTAATGCCGGTTAGTGTGCACCTGCAACGTAGACCCCATATGGCTAGCCTTATGTTTGTCAGGCAGATCTTGGAGAAAGCCTTGGGGTTGAGGCCGCGATTGGCAAATGCTGGGACCTAGCTGCTGTAAGTGAGTCCGCATCGATGGCAGAGTCTCCAGGGAGAAAAGCGGCCATAATGGTTGGCAAAAAAGGTGTTCCTTCTTGATGAAAGCTGAGCGCCCAAGGGTCGTCAACGCAGCGAGCCCTAGCTGTAGTGCTGCGTCCTGCATGGCTTACAACCGTATCATTTCTCACACCAAAGCCTTCACGAGTGTCACTGCTGCCACGACGGATACTAAACTGCAAGTTCCTTACAAGAGGCGCGGCGAATCATGACACAAGTGCAGCATCTTCAAGTCGCATCTCTGAATGACACCGCCTGATTGACCTATTCCTGCCGTGCTGTGCCACCCGGGGCTGCTGAGAAAAGCAAAAGTTGATACTTAAAGTTGCTCAGACTGGCCCTCCACAATACGACAAGCTGCATCTGTCAGGAGATGGAAGGCTGGATAACTTATTTCTCGAACGTGAACTCGGGTCAAAGTTTGTCGTTGCTGGCACGCTGTGATACGTTTGTATGGGCCGGACACCTGGGCTGGCTTGAGGGACTCAAGGCGGCCAAGGTGGGTTGAGGCGGCCAAGGTAAGTTATGTCCACATTAGCCGCCTCGAGTCCCTCAAGCCAGCCCAGGTGTCCGGCCCTGCACAACGTTTCCCGCATGCTTGCCATTGCGAACAATCAAGACGCAAACATAAAAGGACCAAATATTATGGTTGGTAGTCCGAAATCTCAGGTCATAGCAAGGTAAGTAGCCGTTTGACGCTGGAGAATTTCGCGTTGGTCAAACCGCCTTGAGACTTGTGACAATGAGGACTCCGCTGGGAGGTGTACCCCGTGCACGGCGCACTTCTAGCGATAAAGGAAGCTTTTGTATCCCAGTAGCATTTGTGATAGTGTAAGACGCTGGTTCGTCGCAAGAGCTCACTATTGTTGGCTGTAGCCTGTAGCCAGTGCCCAAAAGTGAAGTGAAAGTGCAGTTTGAAGACGCTACTGCGGCAGCATGACTGACGATTGAGCGGCAGGGCACTTAATCTGCACGTCAGACGGCGCCTACACGCTCACCTGCCATTGCGACCTCCGGTCGCTCAAGCTCCAAATTGCCTAACACCGTTCATTGCCAGTTAGAATGAAGATTCGGATTCTAATGCCAAGACGCTAACGCATCAACCCAGTGTATGCACCAATGAGCTTCGAGCTTCGAGCTTCGAGCTGCTAGTGTCCCAGCGCTGGCTGTGTGGCTCATAGAAGGGGAATCCAACTTGATCTGCCCATATCTACCTGCTTGCCCCCTCTCCGCCCGCAGGCTGAACATCCCAGTTCACACATTTCTATTTGAATCACTCCTGCAATACGATGGTATTCCTTATCTACTGACAGCACTACCATGTTATACAACAGAAACGCAACAATACATTAATTCCAGCTTCCTTCGCCGTCTGCTCTATTTGCCTTCGACTCCCTCTCATGCTGTAACCTTGCGATAGCAGCTCATGAGATCTAGCCAGGACGAGTGGGTCCTATCATACAAGCTCCTCACCCCAGCCTTGCCGCTCCTGCTCGACACACTTGTCGACCTCTTCACGGAACTCTGTCACTGTCTGATGCAACTCAGTCGCCCCTCCAGCAAACGGGATGTCTGATACCACAGGTCGTGCAGTTGGAATCCCTCCATAGGCCTCGGACGGAAGACCACTCCTCGCCTTATTCCGCCACAGACTGATCGACGACCAAGTCATACGGCCCCGCCTTACAATCGAATGGAACATCCGTTGAGGGAACGCTATATCCGCCATACCCACCGTGGATGCAGGGGTCCGAACTGCATCTGACTCATCGTTAGTTTTACCGTAGGTAACTTAACCCACATGCTCTTTCACCTTCAAACACATTCGTGTCGCTACTACTAACTATCCCTTCACGAACCTGATCTGTAGGTATTTGTCAGCCTGATCGACCCCACACCACCACCGCTTCCCGACTCCATTCGCATTCATGGGTTGGCAGACTCCGCTCGCCACTCGAAGGTGCAGTTGCAGGCAGAACTGTACACTTGCTTATTACCGACATTGGTTGTGAGCATGGCGGTCTCATCACTAGTCTTTGTCGTCGAAGCTCAACATGAGTCACACAACAACGATGGAAAATACCGTGTGTGATGCAGAAGACGCTCCAAGCGGCTCTTGTGGTAGACTGTCTTGGAGGGAAAAGTATCTCACCTTTCCTTCCCTGACTTCTCCGCTTGTAGTATGTCACCAGCATGAAAACCGCTGCTATGGCTGCTGGAATGCCCACGAGTAGAGCTATCAACTCGACAATGTCCCCTCTTGACCACCCTGCTCCCCCGGAAACGTTCCTAGGCTCTGTTGCCATATTCATATGAAGACCTGCGTCAACCGTTGTCAGCTGGTCGAACCTACGGCTAGGTTCCTGCCCTCAAGCATTCCCAAGGTCTTCTTCAACTTACCTACGCGTGTAATCTTAGTGCAGTACCTTCCCGTTATGTCGTGGTCGCCGACAATGTCTTCTAGTCACTGTTGTATTGCGTCAAGCATATAGCCTCAGAACTTCGGAAGGTCTGAGTGTTTCCCCTTCGGTAGAGGGGGATGACAGGCCTATCACGCCTGGGAGAGGATCGTACTAGCATGCGAAGCTATGCTTCTTGCCTCCAACTGCAATAGGTCGCAATTCTCCTTGGCATCAACCGCAGCGCCTGAGTGAGTATGGCGTTCACATCGAAGCCTATCGAGTAATAGCAACGCTTTCCTTAGTCACTAGATTCTTTTGACCATTTCAGCTACATTGTCACTTTTCCATAACATAACATTTCCATCCGGCATCTTTCTTCATCGTTACACTTCCGTTCGACATTTTGTTCATTCTGTGTATCTCAAAACGCAGCACACAAAGCCCGCGAAGACCGACTTCCGATGAGACATGGTTTTGCCTTCCACACCGTTCACCTGCTCGAAGATCAGCTCACCGCCATTCTATGCATCTTTTTCGCCTGCAGCCAGCTTGCTTGCAGGATGATGAAAGCTTCACTTTCATCAATACTGCATTAGCTCTTCCGCCGTTATCGAATCTCTCTGAGTGGCAGGCCAATCGAAACAAACATTTGCATCACAACGCATTAGTAGGTCTGCCTTGGTGCCCGACGAAATGTTGCCCTGTTGCCCTTCTACTTTACCAGAGTCTGCCTTGTTGCCGTGTTCGGCATGCAGAAGGACGTCTCGTCACCTTGCATACGTTGAGGACACGTCAGCTGTGGCGCAAGGCTATCTGCACTCGACTGGTCCAGAGTGATACCCCTCTTTTTCAATTATGCAGCCCACCGGTGAGTTTCGATCAGGTGTTTTGCGCGAGAACGAGCGATATTCCACAGACATCATGGCTCTGCTGAGGATGGTACTGGCTAGTAGATTGTGGCTTTGTAACGAAAGCGAAGAGCATCGGTACGGCAAGGCGTAGTCGCTTCAAGGATACACGAATCCGACTTCACCTATGGATGGTGCCCCGTATTAGAGAATCTGAGACAGCCTAGAAACAGATATAAGTACCTTGCCTGGGTATCTACCAAGTTATTAAGAAAAACTTCATCGTTTCTTTATTCCAATACCCTTACCTAGTATTGACCCGAGGTTCGGTACATTACTATGAAGATTACACCGACTTTGGAAATCAGAATCATGTTCAATCGACGCACTACTTTCCTATATGATCCGGACGGAAAGTCATTGGATTCAAAAAGAAGTTTTGTGCTACCCCGCTGAGCATCTACATACTGGGCCGATCGTCATTGTGGCATATATGCACAGCCTATCAGACAGACTGCCGCGTACGCTGACGTCGAAAGGCTAGACGGATTTTGAATTTTAAACTCTTGGAAAAGACGTATTGTTACGACAAGCCCCAAGTCACCCCGAGTATTTTACCACAATTTTGCATCTACATTCCTCTACCAAACCGAGCAAGGGTGACACAAGATTGTAAAATCAGAAATGGGACAGAACACGTGATGATTGCAAGGCTAGAACGGAAAGCCAGTCATTCAGTCCGAGGCACTCGCTTATCCGAGTGGTCTTTCATCACGTATCGATGAGGTCAACCCGCAATGCGCATCCAGTGTTCAAAAGGACTATTCAGAGTCTTGTTGTGATGGGAGATCGTAGAACAAGGGACTGAAGATACCACCTCATACAAGGAAAAATTAGACATGCATAGAAATAACAAGGTATACCTTACAGCCTACATTGTCTTCTAACAAGAAGACTTGTTAAAATAAATAGCATTGTAGTCTTCTAAGCTTTCTATTTATGTCTGTACAGATCTAATACGCTTTGTTATAGTAGGAAGGATTACTCTGCCCTAAGAGATGTTTAGTTTCTCTTTTCGATGTAGTGATACTGATGTATGGATATCTCGGCTGTCTTGGAGATCATAGTGGAGGGTAAGAATGAGCAATGCAAGGTGAGAGCAGCCTTGATCCATTTGGGCTGTGAGGAGACAATCAACAGCAGGCGCTCTTTCCCGTGGGCGCTACAAGATCAGTAGAATACATAGGATAAGAAACGTCATATCGCATTACTCACTACTCAGAGAAGACCGATACATCGACTCCAAACGTGTAACATAGACGCCAGTCATTGCAAGGTAGCCTACAACGCCAATGTCTGCTACTTCTAAACGGTGAATATCGTTAAGATGTTCGTTAAAAACTCACTGTGTGGTTATCGGGAGTCGAAAAAGTCCGACAAATATGTGGTTGAGTTGGTCACAAGAGCTCAGGACCCAGAGATCCGTAAGCTCGCTGTCGAAATGCTCAATAAGTATCATGTGGAAGTGCGCGCAGCCCAAGAAGATCCCGCCAATCAAGAGCTTTTGAGATTGTTAAAGAGAGAACTGCAACCACACTAGTACAACAAATTCCCTAATGACATGCTAGAGGTGATGGAAGAGAAGCTCGCAGTCAAGGACGGAGCGCTGCCGACGCTCATGCATATGTTAACCGGTGTGCGCATGGAAGACTTCAAGGAAAAGAGCAAGAAGAGGATTTCAGGTGATTTGGCGCAACTTGAGACACTGAAGAAGAGGGCCTGAGGCTCAGCGTGATGGACCTGGCGAAGTGGTGGTATACGACGTTATGCATGTCCAAGATCGTTGATCGGGCCGTAGGAAGTAGACACTCCTCTTGCACGATATCGTCGTTTTAGTCAAGGTTGTAAGAATGCACGGAGATTGCTCTCTCTCAAACACACGAGAACGAAAAGTAACAAGTTCTTATCATGGTATATATCTCCCACAGTGTCACTCGATTCCATAACGTGTAACCCAGACGCCGGTCAATCGACAACCTACCCCCAACGCCAACACCTGCTACTTCTAAACGCCCATGTCCATGCTCCTACCCACCCGTATCCTTCTATCCCCTCCACACCCTACCTCCCCGCCCTAGCACTCTCCCTACTCTCCTTCTTCTTCCTCAAATACGCACTAATCTGCTCGACATGAGAAACAAAAAAGCACCTCCCAGCATCATTCTGCCAAACCAACACACCCAGCGCACTCGCATAACCAAGAACATCCCTATACTCTGCATCGCTACCAAACTCGCGCATCAGATAGCCCGTAGTCGTTTCCACTCTCTCGCCTTCATATTCCCATAGCCGAATCTGATCCATGACCGTAGGCGGGATATACGGAACGGTCTTCTGCATCTGGGGATGCGCATACGTGGTTAAATAAGAGATGATTTGCGAAGAAGTGATACCCGACTGTACAGCTTTGTGAACAGATTCCTTTGTCAACTTACCCGACACGAGATTGGGAAAGCGGTGTTGGAGTTTGGTAAATAAGCTCAGAATGGCAATTTGGATCAGACTGTTTGTGTAGGCGTAGAGGCGGTAGTTTGTTTCGATGATGATGAAACCCTTGTTTGCGGCGGCCGAGGGACCTGCGTTGCCTTGGTTGGCTTGGGCAATGTCGTTAGAGGAGGCGGACATGGCGCTGCCCGAGTCGGAGGTTAGGGTTGTGGCGAGGCGGGTTGGGTAGAAGGTTCGTGCGTTCTTGTCGGAGCGGTAGATGAGGCCCATTGAGGAGAGATCCTCGAGCATTTGGGCTTGTGTAGGCGAGAGGGTAGATGTGGAGTAATCTTGGCCTAGTTCAAGGGAACCGAGCATGAAGAGGAAGGACAGGACTTCGGTTTCGGACATGCCGAGCTTGATATTTATGTTAGGATCGTTTTCTGGAGGTGTCGACTGGTTCCGAAGAGGACAGTCGTCACAGGGGTGAGGTTCAACACTTACTTCGTTCGTCATCTTCAGATACACGATCAACAAACTCCAGACCTGCGCATTCGTCTCTTGCAGCACAAAAGAGAAACCATCTTTCGTGATTCTCGGACTCCCATGTACAGTCCTCACAAGATCACCAGTATGTAGCAGCTTCTTCGTTCCAGGACCGACCTCGGCTCGCGAGATACTGTCCTTGCTGAGTCCAGCCGCACCGCTAACCAGATAGTACAGTATACCCTCCCACTGCGATCTCGAGTATTCGTCCAGGAAATCTACGCTCAATCGCTTTCCGCCACTCTCTTCTCTAGTTGCTGGGACACCAAACGAGCGGTGCGTACCAGAGCCCTCGAGGGCATTTCGTAGGCTCTTCTGGAAGCCTGTGCTGATTGTCCATGCCATAGTGCCGTCATCTTGTTTCACTTGGGCGATAATGTGCAGGCGTTCGAGAGTAAAGAGGGCTTGCTCCTTCTCTCTGCGGGCGGAGGGCTTGAACCATGCGTCGAGGTCGGTTACGGGGAAGGACGAGGGTCTGTAGAGCATTGCCATGACTATGGATTTGGCTGCGACTTTATTAGCTCCACTACATCGCTGCATTGTACGCACTCACCAAGATGCGGCAGCATGCAGCGGTACACCGCCAACACAGTCGAGGGCTGCTCATATAGCCTCTTATGCGTAGCAATAGGCAGGCCCTCCAAGTATTCCAGCGCCTGTGCAGACGACGAGGCCGACATCGTGGAGGGATGTGGAGGAGAATATGTCGGTCTACCGCCGTATTATCATATTCGGAGGAGAGAATATCGCGAGATCGAGCAAAAGAGACGCGTACGTCGCGCCTTTGGTCTGCGCAAAGTGAAGTTGCAGGGCAAGCAACCAAAGAAAGTACTTGGATGACGCGCCGAGCAAGCGGAAAGCTGACCCCACAAATTCCGCTCCACCCCTGTCTAGCTTCCGAGGTACGTGAGGTAACTGCCGAGCGGAACCACGACATCACTCTTCGCACATTGAGGAGCAAGGACCGAATATGCCGGCATTGAAGTTTGTGAGATCCGTGAGTATGCGCGTGGTGGTAGAAGTATATCGAAAATCGATCCTAATCAGCCGAATAGGTCTGGGAATCTTTCCGAGCCAACTCCGGCCTGGAGCCAAGGTACTCCTCGTACCCTGATAGCATGTCCACAACACTAACAAACCATCTTTTCTCAGACTGTTAGATGGTGTGAGTAGGCATTCATCATTCGAAAAGCTCACGTCTGACCCTGCGTTTAGCTACGAGTAACCTCGGCAGTCCCAGGACGTGTCAAGTTTGAGCTGGACATCCAGAAAGAGCATACAAACAGACTCAACATCCTTCACGGCGGCACCATAGCCAGCATGGTCGATCTCGGCGGCTCCCTAGCAGTAGCCTCACGCGGTCTCTTCGCAACCGGTGTTTCCACTGACTTGAACGTGACTTACCTCTCTTCAGGCGGCAAGATTGGGGATTTGATAAAAGCCGAAGTGACGTGTGATAAATGTAAGCCTTCTGAAGTCACGAATGCTACCCGGGAAGGACTTTTGGTTGACATGTCACATAGTCGGCAAAACTTTAGCTTTCACATCCATCGCCTTCAGTAACAACAAAGGCGAAGTCTTCGCACGAGGAAGTCACACCAAATACGTTGCGTTGGCTTGGAAGGACCCTAACAACATCGTCGAGGAACTTTCACCAAAACCGGAGAAGAAGGACTAGGTACAGCAAAGACTTGGTATCAATGTCCTAACCTGCATGTGGCGTCTAATTATATGCTATGGATATGCACGTTTTCGTTCGCAGGCGCTACCTTCGCAGTCCGTGATGCTGTGCTTCTCTGCATTATCCTTTTTATCGCGTATTGTAACATCATTTGCTTCAGAAGATCCGTATCGTCGTAACATCGTCGACTTTCCGTCTGCCTCACGAGCACTCCGACTCCGTCTCCTGATTCCTTTGTGCTACATCCTCACTTTTCGCCTCATCAGATTTGTTCCAACCCTTGCCCTTCATCAAATTGACCAGACTAGCTTTTCTCGGAGTCAACTTCCTGATAGCCCGTCCAAACGGCCCAGTTTCCGCTCTCGTCCCCGCTGATGTCGCATTCTCTTCTTGTTTACGAAGCGACATCGGCGGGATATCGAGTGGGTTGCCAAGGAGTTTGTTGTCTTTTCGATATTTGTAATCAAACTCCTGGGTACGGTTAATAAGATATGAAAACTGGCTCAAGACAGTAATGATCTACCCATAGACTATCCGCTGCTTGATCAGAAGTACACAGGTCGCGCAGTTGTCCGAGTATGTAGCACGCTGCGAGTTTCTCTTGGTTCAATTTACATTGTCCCAAGAGGCCATCTGGTTGGTAGTCTGGATTCAGTTCGGCGTCCATTGCATCGGTACGCCACTTATCGTATCGGGCTTGGAAACGTCCGGCCCAGTAAAGCGGTGGCATGTAGTCTTTGACCTTCTCAATGTCAGCAACTTTCAACTTTCCTTCTTCCGAGATACTCCATGGCCTGGTTGATGAAGAACCCGACGTGTTTCTCGCAGTCTCTGGTACTGTGGTTGGTACTGAGGGGAACGCCGCAAAATTGGCACTAGATCCGCTAGATTCTACAGACGCTATGAGCTCTCTTCCAGGATGGTAAGGCGGATAGTCGGGAGTAGTGTTCTTCTCATCCTCGGTCTCTTCGAGAATCGACTTGCAGGAGTTCGTGTCGGATACGATATAATCCTGGTGAAACCGATTGGTATCCTTCTGGTCCATGCGCACTGGTTGGATCAAATTTGGAAAAGATACTGTTCTGTACTGCTCTGGAATTTGAGGCACTGGTGGAGCAACTTCTCGTCCGGCTCCAAAGTTGTGGAAAGTACAAGAACGTGGAAGTTTCCTCACCTCATGTGTCGTCAATGCCAAAGCGCGTGACGACCGCCATACGCCGCCCAAACCATTGGGTGTACCCAGTGTCTTTCTTTGCAGGTCTCTATCCGTGTGTGGCCGGGGTATGACTGACTCGACAAGCTTGGTTGTCTCTGGGGTTGATCTTAAATGATCTATGTTGCGAGGCTGAACAACCGCGACCTCCGATATCTGTGGTGAGGACGGCGTATGTATCTTTGTCTCTTCTTGCGGCTGTATTCGCTTGACCGTCACTGGCGTTCGTTGTGCGAACTGTGAAATCATCCGTTTTCTTACTGGCAATGGGGTCGCGAAGCTAGGCTCCCTAATTTGGGGAAATAGTGGCCCTGGCCGAAACGATCTCCTGTTGTTCAAAATACCAGGCACTGCCAACGACTCTCTCTTCAACGTTCTCTCCCGAATTTGCGACCGCCTGTGCGTGATGCGCCTATCTGTAGGTATATTCTCTTGTAGTACTGGCTTCTGAGCTATTGAAGCATTCGCAGTCCTCTTAGGTCCTGGTCGTCTTGGGGCCATAAATCGCGCTGGTTGTGACGGGTTGGAGTCCTTCGCTAGATTGGGCGTTGTACGTGAGCGGACTTGATATGAATGCCTCACCGGCGAACCGTTATCGGCGGCTGCTAACGTGTGCGCTGTTGCGATGTGTTTGATCTGCTGGGAAGCAAGGTATGAAGCGTGTTGATGGACATGTAGACGTGAATTAGAGCGGCGGCGCTCGACCGATGGCGGACTGGGTGTAGGAATCTTCGAAGGTGCAGAGTTAGGCTCTGGCCGAGGCATTGCCGCGATGGATTTGGATTTCACTGCCCCCTCCACGTCTGCGACGAACGAGCTAGGCTCAGACCTGACGGGCAGTGGAATGAAGCTCAGTGTGCGCGATCGGGGTAATGGTTTGGGTGTGACGTCGACATCGGTGCTCATGGGCAAGGTCCTGCTCAGCGGGACTGTCACAGGCTGTTCGGACGCACCATTAGAGAGTTTGGGTGGCGTAAAAGGCAGCACTAGTGAGAGTGGAGGTTCACAGATAGACTCCCCGGTAGTAATGTCGGACGCGGAGGGCTCGGTAGCTGCCAATAACGGCACACTCACCTGCTGGCGAGCTGAGATCGTCTTTCGCTGCGAGAGGGGGTTTGAGATGAACGCGAAGCCATAGCTGAGCTTTCTCCGAAATTTCGTCGCGCCATTCTCATGAGGCTCGCCATTCACCGTCTGGTGAGCTGCCGGCTTTTCTCTCCAGCCTACCATTGCCGCTGTTTCGCCTTCAGCTAACCGAATCGCCTCCCACCGAGCACGAACCTGTTCGAATCTCTGTCGATCTGGATATGTTAGCATGGCTGTAGCGTGGCGCGAGGCGTGCGTGGATGAGAAGGACTTACTCGGGCGGTGTCGTTGTGGGTGATGTTGTTTTCGAGACGGTAAACATGGAAGGCACGACGGTGCTGCCTTCAAAGAACTGCGACGTCATGGCAAGAAAGGACGCAGTCACGACACTATAACTGAAAAGGGCAACCGCAAACGGTTCAAAAAACTACAACGACCTATGCTCGTAGCTTAGACCACCGGCGTACTGAACGTCTTCGCCTGGCCCTAGTTGTCAGGTCACTACAACCAATGTTGCATTCTTTGTATTCTCTGCAGTTGAACACCGCGAGAACGTTCCAGTACGCCTGAAGTGCTTTGCTGAAGGACACTCAGGAATCACCAAATCTAGCACATAAGAAGCGGAACCTGATGAACGTTGTGCATACTTGCTGACAATGACTTGGGCACCTCATAAAATTCCAAGGACGGTACGGGGATGTCAAAGACATCTAGCAGGCCGGAGAATGGAAGACTGAGAACTACGACAGAAATTCGATATTGTAGGTGGGTAGGAGACTGGAAACAACGATGGTATTCACCAGAAGAGATGGAAAGATCAACGGCCGTCTCAACTCAAAGGCTTCGAAAAGAGCGTGTGTGTGCAACCATTTTCTCCATAGAACAGTTCGCGAGAAAACGTGGCAGCTCCTTCCATGCCCTGTCCTTCGAGCGATCAGTGGTAAGGTGCGGACTAGAGATGAGACCGTTCAACGGTAGAAAGACTTGCGCAAAGACATCTGCAATCACGTCACGGACAAAGGTTTCGTAGAGTCATGGCCTGAAGCTCAAGTGCATACAACGGCGAGAGCGTCTGCTTCGGCGACTAGAGAATAAGCTCATGTTTCAGCGATAACGGTCCAGACCAAAGCTCGGGCGCTGAGAAGACAAGATTAAGGAGTGCAAGGAGATGTTTGAAGCATTTGGAGCATGTGGCTTGGAAGAAAGAAGATTACTATGGCAGGATTTGATAAGATGCTAGTTGAAGCTTGAGGACCGAAGACACATGTTCTAGCGCCAAGCTGACGGCCTGGGCGACTCGGAAAGAGATAGCCCGCCCAGCGCTAGCGCGATGTGTGACATGCATGCCCAGATGATCTACCCATCCTAGCATCGTCATATACGACTACAACTCACCTCGCATTCCACCACCGACAACCTTTCGCACGAGCGGAACACAGCGGAGCCTCCTGACAACAGCGCCAAGTGTGTTCGGCTTCCCCTGACGCCTCGGGCCCAATTCGTCCGTGCCCGTCAGCCGCTCACCCATGTATTCCCCCGGAACAATCTACGCCAAACCCAACCTTGCAGGCTTGCATGGACCCTAAGTGCCGGCCTCGGTACCACGAGATACAATATATGTGTAGCCAGGTAGGAAGCGGTCCCGTATCCGGACTTGCCCCCGCAGTGCTAGTAATATAATCTGGGGTACTTAGACTTCATATGGTATGTTTCATGGTGATCGCGGTAGTACTTCGTTGCTTATGATACTATGGTGAGATGGAGGTTACGGAGAATCTTTGCTTGTGTCCGGCTGGATGGTACTCAATATAGAGGGGAGTGGCGGTTAAGAGTAGGTATATAGACAGGGTGTTTGTACACTGATTTTGGTTTCACCAGCTTTGCATCACCTTCGCATTCCTCATTTCAAGGTCGCCAGTCTACAAAATTCTTCATCATGCATACTTCAAGTCTTTTGTCGGTAGTCGCGCTGGCTGCTACGGCTCTAGGTGCGCCTAGCAGCCATGTTGAGAAGCGTGCGCAGACAGTATACCTCGCAGGAGATTCGACGATGGCGAGAGCAAGTGGAGTCACTACAGGTACACATTGCTATGCATCAACGCACTGGAGGCCACTACTAACCATCGCGACTAGGCTGGGGTGTCTTCTTCCCGTACTCCGTCTCTCTCCCAGTCGTCAACAAAGCCATCGGTGGCCGCAGCTCCCGTTCCTACACCGTAGAAGGCCGCTTCGACGAGATCGTCAACCTCGTAAAGCCAAACGACATCGTCATCATGGAATTCGGTCACAATGACGGCGGCGGCCTCGGTAGCGGCGACAACGGACGTTCAGTCTGCCCCGGTACTGGCTCTGAGACATGCCAGTCTACATACAACGGTCAAGCAGTTACCGTCCACACATACAACTACTACCTTACCGAGGCTGGCAAGAAGCTCATCGCCAAGGGCGCCAAGGTCATCGTTAGCAGTCAAACACCGAACAACCCCTGGGAGAGCGGTAGCTTTGTGTACACCGATGGTGGAAGGTTCGTCGGTTACGCGCGGGACGTAGCTAAGGCGTTGGGAAGCAATGCCATGTATGTTGACCACGGAGCGTACACGGCGGATATCTTCAAGACTATGGGCAAAGCAAAGACCGATGCGATTTTCCCGCAAGACCACACCCACACTAGCCCGGCTGGTGCGGATATCGTTGCAAAGGCTTTCGTCAAGGGTCTGCAGTGTGGCGGTGGCGGGTTTTTGCAGGGGTTCGTCAAGAACGCGACAGCAAGCATTCCAGGCAAGTGCTTGTAGGAATATGAGGATGAGAACGAGGCGCGGTTTCTATCGCTGATACCGACGATGCTCATGCTTTCTTGAACATACTTTCCATGTATATATTCAGCTAACGAACGAATTTCAAAACTGCAACGAAACAAGATCTTACTTCATTCTGGTTTAATTCTTCCATTTCCATGCCCTCAGATCCACTTCTCGCCTTTGCCAAGATGCGACAAGAAAGCACCGCCATCTCCATTGGCAACACTCGAGGATTCGACAACACTCAGTACAGCCTTGACTGACTCTTCTGGCGTAATAGCCCCCTTGAAGTCTGGTGAGTAATCCATGAACTTCTGCGACATGATTCCAAGTTTCCGCTGATCATCTTCCGATACTAAACTTTTGGTCAGCTTATGCATTCATCATCCTTGTTGAAGAGACCAAGACTTACGATCAGCATACACATCTGTTCCTACTACTCCTGGAGATATGCTCAGAAAGAGCACTCCGTCTTTGGCGTACTCAGCACTGAACTTCGCAACGGCCATGTTCACCGCCGCCTTGCTGATTGCATATGGTCCATCCTCGGATATGTTGTACTTGCGTACCAATTCTGTATCACCCATGCCACTGGAGATGGTAACGACCTTCTTGACATTTCCTTTGAGAACGAGCGGCATGAAGAGGTTGAAGAGATGGATGTTGCCAACGACGTTGACGCTGAAGAGCTGATTGAGACTGGCCTCCATTTTGGCCGGGTCTTTGCCTCTTTTGTATTGTTAGAGATACTGGAAATATAACGAATGACAAGCAGACTTACAGCACGGAAAACTCATCGAATTCACCAGACACAAGACCCGCGCTTGCGATGAGGTAGTCCAGACTTCCGTTGGTGACTTTGGATGTGGCATCAACGGCACTCTTCAGTGACTCGTAGTTGGTGAGATCGCCTTGGACGAGGTGGATGTTGTTTCTGCTCCACGATGAGATTCTGGCTTCGGTGTCTTTTACGTTGCGAACGAGACCGATGACAACGTTGTCCGGGTTGCTGGAGATGTGGTCGAGGAATGCAAGACCGATTCCTCGAGACGCTCCGGTGACGAGGTAGGAAGGCATGTTATTCTGATAGCTGAGGCTACTCTAAGAGTTGGAATGGTTCGAGGATCTTAAGATCTTGGAGATTGAAGTATTTGATAGTGAACTGATACCTATGCTATGGAAGCTGGGTGAGGTTCTTTATATCATCTCCATGAGACATATTGTCCCTCCGTTTTGGTGCGGCGGAAGCGTGCACATCAGCCTGGCTTCATAATCAACGATGCGGAGCTCGCAAATTTTTACCACAATTCTGTTTGAAGGCATAAGGGATGGACAAAGGTTACGACGTTGGATGCTTGGCGGTGACTGAGGCTGACAGAAAGCTCGCAGATAGTTGCTTCGCGTTTAGTTTAGGTATAGTGCAGAACTAGCGACATCTGGCGTGATTCGCTGGCCGTTGCAGGTGCGGGGCGGGGCGCATTACAGGAGATCTCCCACCGGCTTCCATCAGCGAGAATTCCAAGTCTTTCAGCTCTATCATGCTTCTGGTAATAGCTGCCTCTGCTTCGTGCCTAGTTCCTACAGTGGCTTGCTTGACATACCTCCATATCCTTGGTTTCTCATAGGATGCGTCGCGATCTCTTCGCAACGCTTACCCAGAAGGTGCGCGTCGACGCCTGCCCCCAGCTCAGCACGGAGGAATGACTGCAGCAAAGACTGCAACAAAGGGCTGCTGGACATGCAAGGGTAGGAATTGGATTCGTGATTGCTCGTGTACTACGCGATACTGATATCGTCCTTAGATCGCAAGGTATCATGTGATCGCGCTGTACCAGTCTGCAACAAGTGTTCGAAATCCAAGCGCGTATGCGGTGGTTATGGCATCCGTCTCTCATGGGTCAAGAACAACGACCAGAAGAAGCGGCTTCTTGAACCTGGACATCAAGACTTACAACACGCACGGATTCGGCATCGATCTGAGCAGTGGATCAACGTCTCGTCTACTGATATTCGTCTCCACATCCTTGCTAAAGCTACTATTGGCGGAGGTAGGATCTCTTGAAGTAAACCTAGTGGCATAATTTGACAAGTGTTCAGTCAAGGGTGAGCATGTCGGAAGGGATCAGCTTGCATTGCCCAAGCTTACCCGGTCCGTGGCTTCCGTAACAACAGAGGTGGCAATTAGCGACGCGGAGCTAGTACAGTATTGTGAGTCTACTTGCAGAAGGTGAGTTGGCCTACTACTAACTAGTCGCAGTCGAAGATGTAGTCGTTGGGATCCTACCCTCTTTAGGCCGTGAGAGAACTGAAATCGGACGCCTGTTGTTACGAATGGCTTTGTCAGGGCGTTCCATATCGTCAATGGCTCTACTACTGTCCCTAGTCGCGTTGGCTTCTCGTCATCGCGGAAACGATATGATGCATGCGGCTCGTGCCAAAAATGCGGCAATAGAGGCGCTGGTAAATGCCACGAGTCCTGGACTGGATTCGGATGCCAGTATCGAACACATCGCCACCGGTCTGGTTTTATGTTTAGTAGAAGTAAGCCGTCATTTGGAAGAGAATGGTACAGAACTAACGTGATATTGTCATGATGATAGACAGATCTCGACTGCGACTGGATAGGCCATCTATGCGGGGCGAGAAACATTGTTCCTACCGTCGATAAGAAAGCACACTGCGTTGGAAGCGACGCAGCTATCATTCTCGGGTGGCTCTACTACTTTGTCACATTTACTCGCTTCAGCTTCCGTCATTGGCGCACCTACATGATTCGATCAACCTCACACGAGCTTGGTTTCAAAGCTGCTAATCACACTTGTGCGGTGCAATATCGTATCGCTCGCATCGCTTTCGCGGAGGACATGTCAAGTATCGCAACATACGCTCATCCTTTACTTCAACTTCTCGCTGAGGTCTTCGAAACACGACTATACGCTTCTGATCCGCTGTATCATTCGAACGACTATCAACAGTCTTTAAATGACCTCAAATCCCGACTAAACGACATTGATCTCGTCACTAAAAATGAAGAAGGAAAAGGCGACAAGTACTATTGCTTGGAGTTCACCAGACTAGCAGGCCTTGTTTACCTCGAGCGCGTTTCCCGAAACTTCTCAGGCCAATCAACACAGCTAGACCATTGGAAGGAAGATGCACTATGCATACTCGCAAAATTGAATACGTATCCATCATCTTTTGCTATGTTCATTATCGGCTGCGAGGTTCACACAGACGAAGAGCGGTTGGTCGTACTTGACTTCTTCACCAGACTGGAACAAGGTTCCCACCTCAGCAGCTCACTGGAAGCCAAAGGAATGATACAAACGGCCTGGATCCAACACGACCTTAGGATAGAGGGCGAGCTTGATTATATTCACAAGATCAATCTGGTGATGAGCTCGCGGGATGTCATACCGAGCTTCGTGTAGTCTGTAGGTCAGCCATAGTCCAGGATAGACAAAAGACGGGATTTTCGACCAACAAGAACTTCTTATTGTACAGCCATCCGTTAACGAAATTGTACCACGTCTCAACTACCATCTGGTATTGATTTTCCAGGGTGTCTCTTCTTCATGTGTCTCAACATGTTATCCTTCCTTGAAAACTCTTCCACACAACCATGAATCAAACACCGGATCGTAGCTTTCCCATCGGTACTGTGTTTAGCTACGATGTGTCGCTGTAGGTCCGCTTCAAAACCAAATGGCTTTTGCGTACAGCCCTCGTATGGGCACTTAGCGCACTTGTTGTGTATCCGGTTGATGTGTTTGCTTTTGACTTTTTAGTTTTGCTGTTCGACGATGCTGGGGAACTACACTTACTTCAGGTCGCAACGGCGACAGAAAGCTTCTTGACATTGACAACAGATGAACGTTGATGCTTCACGCTGTGGGAAGGAATCTGTGACGGTAGAAAGTGGTGACGTATTCGCCGAGGGACTCGTCGCTGGAGTCTCCAACCAGCCAGTGGACGTATCATTGGGTGATGTGAGCTTTGTAGATGGTGTAGAGGGGGTAGCGTTAATGTACTGAGTGACATCTAGACCCGGGCGCTTAGGGGACGCGGTAGGGTAGCCATGTGATACATCGCAATCTTGGCCAATGATTGCGAGACGCTCGTAGGTTTGCAAGTAGGGGCGATGTATGACCGGGTTAAGTTCATGTCCGAATGCGAATGGCGAGAATGCTCTGTCATTTGACGCATGTAGAAACGTATGGTTGTTCTCATCTTGGAGAATTGGCGACGTATTATTGAGGTTCTCATGAAAAGCGAAGAACGTATATAGTGGGCGCGCAAACGTATAAAGTCGGCAAGAAAACGTATTGAGAACCTCTTCTTGGTAGATTGACAACTTGGCGGCAAAAAAGTGGCGAAGACGGTGAAGGCCTTCGCCAGCACTTAAGTTGTTGAAAGATTGAAGCTGTCGCAACGCCAAACACCTTGGTGGTGCGGCTGCGGAAAGTCTGTGTCGATGAACTGAGTTGCGCGAATGTCGTGAGGCTTGTACGCTCGAGAGATATGATGTTGATCAAAGCAGAAGACAAAGATGCTCGGTGTCTCCAACAGACGGCCAAAGGCCGCTGTGAAAGTGGTTGCAGAGCAAGAAGGGAGGGCTGATGCGTGTGCCTTATAAGCCGGACCGTTCGAGAGGCATGCCACGAACTGTGTCGGTAGACCGGTTGATCAAGAAGCTATTTGCATCGCTGGCCAACCAACAAGCCTACTTTCTATTATGCCTCTCCATGTATGCAGCCAAGCCTTGTGGCGGAGGCTATGATCACTACTGGCGTAAGGCTGAAGAGGCTGATGGAATGCCTCGCCGCATGTATTTCATGGGAAAATAAACATAGAGATCTGCTAACATCAGTCTCTATAGACTTCGCCGAAAGGTTAAGTCAAGTGATCGAGGGGCCTATTTTTGACACATTCCTTTATACAGTTAGGGTATGACATTAGAAAAGCACTTTAGACTGCACGTGGATAAACGTCAGAGAATACGGCCCCCGACCCTCAGCTTCTCGCCTCTGCAGTCTTGAATTTTTGCAACCCACGGCAGTGCATTCTCAGTCTCATACTACAACACCATATCGAATAATTTCATATGTCGTCTCAAAACCACGGAGCTGAGCTCTGCCTTAAGTTCAACTTCTGTCCACCAGCCACTCTTTCAATCTCTAACCCCTCGGCATCACCTTTGAAGCTGATCGCCACCATCCACCAAACCTCCTCGGTCTTCCCTGATAGACCCGTTACTATCTTGACCAAATACTCATGTCTCGACACTACGCCTCGTGAGGATGCGTTCCGCAAGGGCGATATGCACTCACCGGAACTCGCATTTTCCTCCACCCGACAAGTAGATGGCTCTGCAAAAGTGCTTAACCTCCGGCCCACAAAGCGCATTACGTTCCACCGGATATCAGGCGACCCAGATCTTGCCAAACGCCCTGAGGATCCCGATACCCCTGGATTCACTTTCATCACAGTTCCTCCGGTAAGAAAAGGTTCTGTACAAGTTGCGTGGGAGCTCTCTGCTGAACGGCTTATGTCGAGTCTCGGCGACGACTCAACCTCGCTCCAAGAAAAGCTTGAACATTTTCTACGAGTCGGCGACACCTACCATGTCTGGCCCGGCGATCTTTCGATTCGATGGTGGTCATTTGGCTCCTTGGAAGACCTGGAAGGCTTGAAAGGCAAGAAAATCTCGCGCTTCAGCTTTTCTGACGATCTGGGGTTGGATAGGGAAAAGGGAGCAGATGAAAGCGAAGAGGTTGTTAGTAAGATGCAGGATCCTATTGATTTGCATAACGTGAACAAGTTGTCTTCGAGAAGCGCCGTGGAAGGAGAAGAGAAGCCGGATATTAAGAAGATGAGGGAGGAAGGGTGGGTTTTCGGAGAACCGCCAGGGCTGTTGAAGATGATCGCGCAAGACGAAGACAAAGTAGCGACTTTCAAGATCGTACAGTAAGGCGGTTGGCTCGTTAGGCAAGTCTGTCAACAGTGCATTAAGACAATATACCTAAGCCATGCATACTTCATTCTCAATCACGCGCTGCTTAAGATTGAATTTGCGGAAGAGTGACAGTTCATTCCAGGCACCAGCAGGGGATACCATCTTTTCGGCGTGCAGTGCTTTTCCAATCTAGATTCTTTCATTTTGAGGCTGTACAAACTGCCCGGTTCCCTATTGAAACAGGATATGTAAGGGTAAGTGAAAGAGAGCACCTTCCAACGAATCATTTTGCTGCGGCTGCGCCACTTTCGCCCAAAGTAGCCCTACACAAGGATTCGATAGCAATTATTCGATAGCAGTTCATCCCGCCTAGGCTATGTTTCTACGTTCATGCAATATTCTAGTCCTTGTGGCTGCAAGAAGATTCTCCCTTCATTCGTCAATCGAGACAAAGGGGACGCTGCATGGATGCAATTGATCGAGTCCCCCTGGAATTTCTCGGACGTGCCTTTCAAAGCGTATTTTACCATGAGGACCAGGGTAAAGGCAATCCATTTCCTACGCTGGGTGGGCACAGCAGTGGGCTATATGACGACATCGACGACCTCGTACGTGACGGCGCGACATGCCTCTCTACCACGAAAGCGCAGACTGGTGTACATGGAAACATATTTCCTCTTCATATTGGCCATAAGCGCTCTGATCAGCGGTCTCTACCATTTATCGTTCGGCGTCTACGGCTTCCACCTACAGGACGACGTGCCAATACGTCCCGAAGTTGAGGGTCGTCTTTGTCTTTGTCTGTATGGTGTACACGTACATGACTAGCAAGAGGATATCAGTAAAAAGCTTCTGAAGTGGCAGGATAGGTTTTGATCTTGACATACCGTTCGAGGTTATCCGGTCGCGGATACTTGCGCTCACTGTCAGGGCAGAATGGACAAACGTATCCTGGACTTTGGTGAAGAAGACCATGGCGAATCATCTCATTCTTTCTTTTAAAGCCTTTCCCGCCCTCGCCTCTAGGGCAACCAGCAACTGGGCAAAAATGTAGCCTGTTCGACGCATGTACGTTGTTGTGGGAGCTGGACTCGTTAGTCAAGATCATAGATATGCTGGGCCTGATATACTTGAGGAGATATTGCGTTTGAAAAGGTGCAGCTGTACAGTCAGGATGGTGGCATCTAAACATGCCCGTTATGTTTGGGGTGGATTGTAGGCTTGAGTTGGGCGGCGGCAGTGGTGTCCCTGGATCGATAGCCCCGTTGAGGGGGAAATTCGGAAGTCGAAGTCGACTTTTGTAGGCTTCTTGTCTAACCACCTCAGCCTCTATAGCGGCTTGCTGTTCGTCATTTGGCAGAATCGCGATCCGAGCTGCTTCACGCTCTCTGCGATCATTCTCACGTTGATCTACCGCTTGGAGATCGGAAGATATGTCCATGTTTGCTATAACACATGTGATTAGCTGGTATGCTAACTGTAGCTTTCTACACCAAGTAATGTACGTACTGTCATTTTCAGAGCCAGAACTTTTGATTTTCTTCTTGATCCAGGAGATGATGCGATCTATTGCCCCGAGATGCCGGATACGGTTGATCCCTAGAGGTCCAGAGTCATGAGGCGCAAGTATGAGAGCACTTTGGTGATGGGTGAACACTTTGAGCTCTTCCAACGAGTCTTCGCTTACAATGAGGTCATGATTTAAACTATCCAGCAAGAACAGATCAACTGTGACATTTCTCTTAGGATGGTTCAGTGGTCTCCACGAATTGATCGATGTGACTGCTATGTCAACATGGACGTATCCAGAAGTAGTTGCTATACTACCGTCTGCTAGCTGGATTGCTTCTTCTCCCGGATAGACTGTAAGACCACGTTCGGCCACAAAAGAAGGCGATATTAGGTCGATTTCCGAGCCCGAGTCTGGTGTCGCTAGTGTCTCCCTACGGTCCACCTCGCATTTCAGTAACCGGCGTGGTCTGCCGACGGAATATACGGAAAGTGCCTGGAACGCTGGTGTTGGCACGCGTACAAGACGTTCTCTGTATTCGGTCATCGTTTTTGTTTCTTCCAAGAAACTCTGGCCCATGATAATAGGTGTCGCAGATTTGAGCAGGACGTAGAACGCACATGTCATTGTCACCAACGAACTGGTCTCGACACCGAACGAGCAGGGCGACTCGATGCGGCCAATGGCTTCAATCAGCTTGCCATTGGCTAGCGAAAACTGCTTCTTTTCTGGTAAAGCCTCGTACTCTGAGTATCCCAATGTTTTCGCGACTTCATGTGATATGATATTGACATCGGAACCCGTGTCTGCGCACGCTAGTACGGTAGCCAGGATGCCTTGTTTGTGAATCGTGATGGGTAGACTCAAGCGAGCTTTCCTTGGTTTACGTGCCCTTTTCGGAACGATTGAATAATCTGGAAGAGAGTCAGATGTGAGCCGCCAGGCTGCGTCGTCAGACAATGTCTCAGCGTCACTGTCACTGTCGGATGGTAAAGGACCATCCAAACCAAGTGATAATGTGAGTTGCGGATTTTCAGGGGCCATCTGATGGAAAAGTAGACTGTCCATGAATTCCCATTCAGTTGGCGGAGCTTCACTGCGGTACATCTTATGCAGCTTTCGTCGCGTTTCCCGGCCATTGCCAGTGCGTTCGACGTGAATGAGGTCCTATGTTGACGTGAGTGACGCTCTGTAAGGGATAGTATCAGAACTTACCAAAGGTGCCTCGCAAGTGTCTTGGGGTAACCACAAGGGCGCAAATGGTAGTGGTGAGCAATCCCCTAGATCAGGTTGGAACGGAGTGAGTCCTGGAGAGGCGTGCGTGTAGTCATCGTCGTCATAATACTCCATATCGTGTGTTCAGTGCGTCTTGGATAGATTCAATGTGCTTGAGTGTATGATCCGCCAACGACAAGAACGGAGTTGTAATGGGCTGTGGGTGCGATGGCGGGGTCACAGGACAGCCCAAGCCACCGCTGACCGGTCAAGCAAAACCAGCTCAGCCTGCTGCAAGCTCCGGTATAACTACATACTTCCATCAAGCACCGCCTACACAGATATGCCAGCTGGTGATGGTGATGCTGAATCACGGATTTATCGTCTCTCCGGGTTCCCATCTCTTGCACACTTTATCGCAAGTGATCGCGATCGAACGACCTTCATATTCAAGCGATACGACGAGCTTGCAGCTAGAAACCTGCTGTACCTACAAAGTGAACTCGCGGAACTTCAGGCTAAGCAACGCGCTTTCGACCAAGAGGATCTTGCAGCAGATCTAAGCACAAAACAATGCGCACGTAACTACTCAAACTTTCAGACGGCGGTAGTCGCAGATGAGACAAAACAAAAAGAACGATGGAAGTTGATGAAAGATATCCGAGAGACATTGAAGGAATACCGAGAAGCATTACTATTCGAGAGCACATTAGCAACACTTCCAAGACCATCTAAAGGCGTTCTACGCGCCTTCCAAACCGAGTTCTATAACCAGACTGGAGGCAAGGGCGAGCCTTTTCCTACCCTCGGTGGGCATAGCGCTGGAATATATGACGATATCGACGATCTAGTCGCTTTACGAGTCCAGGAGGACCAGGATAGATTGACGACGTTCGCGCAAGAGCATTTAGCCTTCCTATTTCCAGATCGGAAGCGTTCCCGCCATGGGATAGCTTACGCTTCGGACCGAGCCATTAGCTCTTTCGTAGCATGGTTCAGCACTTTCTTAGCAGCAGTACTACTCATAGGCGCCATCGTCGTGCTCTACAAAGTGACGTCGTCGGATTGGAGGTTAGGATTAATTGCGGCATTCACCACCTTGTTCGCTGGCAGCGTGGGTCTCTTGACGAATGCACGAAGAGCAGAATTGTTCGCGGCAACAGCAGCATACGCAGCCGTCCTCGTAGTCTTCGTAAGCGGAGATCTAGGAAACAGTCAATCAAACACAGCGCCACCAGGCTAGAATGATCAATATGTTGAATTGACGATATTACAATAAATCTGCTTACGTCTATATGCTTGCTATGGTACCTCCGCTTTCAATTAAAAAAAAGTTCAAGGTTTCAAAGTTTCAAGAACTAGAAGCCGGCCTAGCGGAACCAACAACACTCTCCCTCCTCCCCCAGTTCCTCGGTTGCCGCTTCAAAAACGCACCAACAGCACCCAGGTAACCCTCGTGCCTCAGGAAATAAGCCTGTCGGGTGTCCTTTGACCAGAAGCGAATAGCGTAGGACAGAGTATTCATCGTCTGTGAGTGACCACCAATGAAGGAGCCTCCAAAGTATATTCTCGGCAGTCCATGTTTCTCAGCGTGCAGATGCGCCAGCTGACCAATGTTGTTCGAGACAGCGTAAAGGAGCGAACGCGCCATATCTTCTGGGCGGAAGGAACCAGGATCATGCGATAGTTCTGAAGAGCCCTCGACATGCTCTGCTTCTTCTCTGCGCTTGAGATCGCCGTTACATCCGTCCTCTGCTTCCCGTTCCGCTGCACGCTTCATTTTGTAGACCTTGCCAAACGAAGATGCAATGTGTGTGCTCTTCAGCCCGATCTTGTTGTACGCTTGTCCATAAATGTCGCCGACGAGCAGATCGACATTTCCGTTGTCGCCATTCTCTGCTAGCCGTAACATGTCGTCGAAGCTTCGGGCGCCGGTAAGTAGCGACAACAGACCCCAGAGTGTTCCTCCTCCTAGTGATGTACCGCCTATACGCTCGTATTGCCGGGGTCCTGAGACCTTGATCATGGAGACACCAGAGCCGATGTTGACGAGGAGGTAAGGGTAGATATTCGGCGGATCGGGAGGATGTGGCATGAAGGTCATGGGGCTGTCTTCGCTGTAGGTGAAGACCTCGTTTGGGATTTCGTTGATGAAGAAGTCGAGACCTTTACATGTCGGTGTTAGCATGCCAATCCCTCGACTACAGACAGCACCAAGGTCTTACCTATGATCAAGCACTCCATCTCGTCTTCCCTTATGACTTCTACATCCAACGCTTGCTTTATCTTGTCGTGGTACTTGAACGCACCACCACCAGTCGCCATGATGCACAAGTCTGGCGATTTCGATCCATTGTCTTGCTTCTGGTCGGCCTGCAGCTTGCGCATAAACTCTATACACGCATCTATCCGGTCAGTCTCAAACTTGAAGAAGTTTAGACGTCCGCCAGTCGAGTCGTCACCGAGTTCGCGCGAGAAGTATACAAGTTTGGCTAAGGAGCCTCCAATCTACAAGGGCGCGCAGCGCGTTAGCATGCTGTGACTCCGTAAGGGGTTTGGTCGCGTGCTACAACCAGTCGCACGCGACCACGCATATATACTCACATCGACGGCTACATGGCTAACTACCGAAGTGTGGTTCGGCAGTCTGATGTCGTGCGGATCGTGTTCGTAGTCTTCGCTCTGCGGCGTCCCTGGCTGCTCTTCATCTACGATGAAAGCCCCCTGAACGTTGATGCGCACATTGCCCGGATGTTGTATGGTATCCTGAATATCGCTTTGCGCAGTAGTCCGTCTCGGGCGACCCAGCTCCGGGGTCGACGATGTCTCTATAGGATGCGCACGCGATCCTTTGGTGCCGGTTTCACCCGTCGCGGGGTCCAATGCAGGCGACATGGATTCTGATGTTCTGGGTCTTGGCTGCAGCTTCGCCCTCTTACAGCGATGGCGCACAGTCAAAGGACGACGGTGTTTAGCGAGGAAGTTGAAGTGCTGGTGTGACTGTGCGAAGGGTGAATGGGGCACTGGAGTCGCTGCTGATAGCGATGGACGTTCCATTTGTCCGCTTTGTAACGGACCTTATGCCCTGGGGAAGACGTGACCTGAAGTTCTGCGCAGAATAGAGCCCAAGGTTAAGCAAATCTCCGGGTCCCCTATCTAAACGGCAAAGCGTGGAGCGCCGAAGAAGAACATATATCTGAGCCATGCTTTTCGGCGGAATGGAGACTGTTTATCTTGCGATGCGCGTCGGTTACCGAGATGGTGTGCAGTGTTAAGCTCGGCAACCGACATGAGGCATGATGGGGTACATCCGAGGACCGACTGGGGAAGTTTGTGGAGATGGCCTATGACTGCTGACAAAACGTCGATGCATATTAGTGAACTAGACGACTCGGTAGTTTCAGTTGTGAGAATTGAAGATGGGTACGATAGGTACGTCTAAAGGGACCATCACTAGTCGTCTAGTTGGGAATCCACGTGCTCCATGCACCATAATGGAAACTTCAAATACGTCATCAAAGACTCCAAACCTTAGCAGAAAAATGGACATGATACAAGCTTCACCTCATTCGCGCCATCGTGAGCCACAGTTCGTACCTGCACGCACCCGTGTACCAGGAGAGGGCTGATGACGTCGTGCGCTCGTACCTTCAAATATCCCAACTTCACAAACACCACCGTCTACCTAATACACACCCAAGCTCAAAGTCGGATTCTAATCTCGAGCAAACCATACCAATCATCACTACAACAACCCGCCAAATATTTCAGCAAGATGTCATGGATGGACTCCTGGTCCCGGCCTTCTAAGCACGCCGTAACCCCACCACCCCTCTACCTAACCGTTGGCGACACAGTGCCCTACTGCCATAGCTGCGGCCGCGTCATTAGCGAGCGCCGCAAGACGCAAAACGCAACAGAAGTCAAGTACTGCTCTACACGATGCCGCAATAACAAACCGGGCCCTATCGACCGGAAGATCGAAGCTACCTTTGCTGCGCTACTTGACGGCGCGAGTCCAGAAAGTTTGAGAGAGAACGCAGGGGCAGATCCTATCAAGAAGACTGCAGAGACGGGCAATGCGCATGAGGAGGAAGAGAAAGGTGGCAAAGGTGGAAAGGGGAAGAATGGACATAAGAAGAAGTTTTCCAAGAATAGCATCAAAGGAGATCATAGGATCATCGTCGAATGTAGCACGGTAGAGGAGATAGTCTTCCAACGCGAAAAAGATCCCGAGAAAGTATATGGACGACGCAAGAATCGCAAAGCGAGGTTCGTAGTTGAGAAACCTGAGGATTGGAAGAGCGTAGATATGGTCGATCAACCTGCTTCCGCCACAGCAACCGCGTCTGCTGCTGCTGCTGCTGCTGCAGCGACAAAGCCGCCATCACAAGATTACACTAGCGATGAGGAGGACACGGTGTCAGATTCAGACAACGAAGCCGAAGGCGGCGTTGTTCTCGAGCCAACAAAGTCAGCAGACCCTGTTCCGGACGTTGTAGAGTACGGTTACGGCAGTGGAAAAGTGCGGCCACCACAAGACCAAAACGACGTCAATGGCAGCGTCGGCGGAGAGAAAGGCTGGGCCGAACGGATCCACGAGACGGACGAGATGAAACTCAAACGACGAGAAGGGCAGAGGAAGGCTGACGAGAGGGAAAAGGTACGGCAAGCTGCGAGACGGGGGTGTGCGTTTGGTTTCACCGTACCTGACGAGGCGGAGAAGAGAAAGTGCGAGGCTGTTATGAAAGGTGTTGTTGTGGAGAGTAGTTTTGCAAAAGGGGAATGGGGAGTTAGATGGAGGGAACGTGTGTGATTTTCCCACAAAGCTTTCTTCCTTAACTGCACCTTTTCTTTTTTTGCTAGCTAGAGGAGAAACTGTAACTGTACGATTGAACTGGATAAAAAGCGCTGATACAGCGGACGCACCATGGGGTATCAAGAATAATCAACAAATAAACGCCGTCCTTATGTCCTTTCCTTCACATCAAAACACATCCCAAGGAACTACTCCGGTTCTATTGGACTTTCTCCCACGACCCATCATTGTGCATTACCCATCCAGCAGCCATGAGAGCTCTACCTTGTTTTTCGCCGGGGTGTATGATGTTTTCAAATCCTGATCTAAGACCAGCTCCTGATCTGTTATCCATTAGCAAACCATTTCATCCCCAACGGAGGAGTGAGTATATAACGTACCGTATCATATTAATCGCCAGATTCCGTGCCTTATCTTTTAGATTGACCTGATTCCTGTTTCGCAACACGCCACCCCCTTCTTGCTCATCATACTGCAGTATCCTTGAATATTTGCTAGGATATTTGCGCATGTATTCAATCAAAGCTTCTTCCTCTTCGTTCGACCATGCTTCGCGGGATTTGCGCTCATTGCGGCTGTTGCGAGACTGCGTGGATTCGAGAGCGCGATTTTCTTGCGCGAGCTTGCGTTGGTCGCGCCATGTGGAGGAAGGTGGAAGCTCGGGCTCTTCGGTCATGGAGGGAGAGGAGGCCTCAGACACGGATTCTTCTTGTTCAGACAAGGGACGGGTATGTGGCTGTGTAGAACGGGGAGGGGGTTGGTGGCTCGGTGGTGCACCGGAGGATGTAGGTGCTGGTGGTCCTTCGGTGCGCTGTCTTTTTGCCCAAGGCATCGCGCGACGACGCACTGGGACATGGTCGCCACGGTCTTTGGTTTCGAAAGCGTCGGAGTCCGAATCGTCCGAATCTTCACGGCGACGTTTGTGTGGGGAAGGTTCCGCAGTTTGTTTTCCTTTGGCTGTATTTGACGGGCCGGCTGTTCGCTGTGTGTCCTCGAAACCGTCACCGAATTCGATGCGCTGTGCTGTCGTTTGACGATCGAAGATTGATATTGGGCGGTTCTCTTTCTGCGGCTTCTGTAAAGCCTTGAGAGCCCTGAGTAAAGATGCAGGACTCTGGGGCGGAGCAGACGGTTGAGGTTTTTCAAAGTCTTCTATCTGGTGTTCCTCTTCGTCTTCCACCGCTGGTTGGTGGTCGTTCTGCTTCTCTTCCAAGCGCTTTTCAGAGTCCTCACCCTCGGGTTGCTGGTCTTCGCTTCCAATCAATGTTTGCCATTCTGAATCGTCTTCTTGGTCGTTTCTCTCAGGCTGTTCATGCTGCACTCCTTCGATCGCTTCAGAGCTCTCTTCAACATCCAGTTGAGAATCAGTATCGGGTTCAGTCGTGCTTCCTTGTCCATCTTGCTGTTGATCTTCCAATTCCGGC